GCTGCTGCCCCCTGACCACACGACAGACCCTGCTCTGCCCCCGATCACACGACAGACCCTGCTGCTGCCCCCTGACCACACGTCAGACCCTGCTGCTGCCCCCTGACCACACGACAGACCCTACTGCTGCCCCCTGACCACCTAGTAGCTTAACTCAGTGAACAGAAGACTGAGCATTGAGGTTGGGGGAGGGTGGTGAGGAGGAATAGCTGGGAAACAGTGGCACCTGAGAAAAGTGACCAGTACAGTGACATTTCCGTGGGGACCAGCCAGCCAGTGCAATGGTAGAGTCTGTCATGTGGTGGTGGGGCAGCAGTAGGGTCCTAAATGTTAGGACATTAGGTACATTCTACCATGCTTGGCTAATTTTTTAATTTTTTTGTAGCAACAGTGTCTCAGTATGTTGCCCAGGTTAGTAATATACATAAATCAGTATGTATTTTTAATGATATAATTCTCTATATCTGAATATATTTTTATATTATGTATATAAAATGTATATTAAAAGTAATAGCTAGAAGCCAAATGTGGTGATGGGCACCTCTAGTCCCGGTTATTTGGGAGGCCGGGGCAGGAGGATTGCTTGAACCTGGAAATTTGAGGTGAGCTATGATTGCACCACTGTACTCCAGCCTGGGCACAGAACAAGACCCGTTCTTTAAAAAAAAAAAAAAATTGCTAGAAACTACTACTGTATAAAAAGAACCTCCCCACATATCAATTATTAAATAAAATGAAGCTATACATGTACATATATGTGAGTGTATTAATCTGTGTACATGTATCTCTTTTATTTGACTTTATTTTACTACATTATTTTGAGACAGAGATTCACTGTGTCGCCCTGGGTAGAGAGCTATGGCATCACAGCTCACAGCTTACAAGATCTTCCTGCCTCAGCCTTCCCAGTAGCTGAGACTCCAGGCACCCACAAAGCCCAGCAAATTTTTCTATTTTTAGTGGAGGCAAGGTTCTCACTCTTGCTCAGGTTGGTCTCAAACTCCTGAGTTCAAACAATCCTCTTGCCTCCGCGTCTCAACTACTTTTTCTTTTCTTTTTAAATATATTTTTTGTAGAGCCACAGGCTGATCTTAAACTCCTGAGCTTTTTTTTTTTAAATATGTATTTTTGTAGAGCCACAGGCTGATCTTAAACTCCTGAGCTCAAGCAATCCTTTCTCGGCCTTCTGCAGGGTTGCAATTACAGGCATGAGCCACTGTGCTGGCCTGTATCCTTTTTAAATAAAATGATTTGGGATCAACTGCCCCAAACCACAGGCTTGCCTAGGGCAGAATACATTTTTTGTTTGACTTTACCCTTTCAGGTTGCTAATACAGTGTTACTTTGTTTTGTTTCAGTCCTTAATAATCCTGTTTTGTTTCAGGCCTTTTATGGTACTGAAGAGATACAAAAGAGAACAAAATGTTTTTCTACACTAAACTGTAGATATTTGTTGTTTTTGCCTGGCTAACCAGCACCCACTTTCCCCACTTGTAGTGAAGTTCTTCCCTTGGGGGACACCTCACATTCACAGGTTTGTTTCCAAGCAAGTGACCCGTTTCTTTGCCTTCTCTAGGGTTGCAGACCCAAACCTGACCATCAGAACCACAGGAATCTGTCCAGGGATGGATGGACACACAGAAGGTAAGCCTGGGACTTTTGCTAGAACTCATGAAAAAGTTTCTTTTTACATTGACGGGCTAAGTTTGCAGAACAGACACTTCTCACTGCACAGCACAGAAAAGCCTGTCTGAAGGCAAAGCTGGGTGGAGACTCATGACTCAGTCAGGAGCCAGAGAGCCCTAGGGCATTCCTAGGCATCAGCACCCAGCTATGCCTGAACCCCCTCCAAGAATACCCAGGCCTTTCAGTTGTGAGCTCCAAGAAAGGAGGCGCCAGGACACAAGCTGGAGAGAGCAGCACGTGACCTTTCTGGGCATAGCTGTGTCAGGAGCCTGCAGAACAGCGGCTGGCTCAGAGCAGGCACTGACAGTGCCTATTTGTTAATGAGTAAATAAACTGCCTTTAAAAACATTTATTTACTTATTTACCTATTTAAGACCATTTTAGTTGAGTTTGTTGCTTGAAACCAAGAACCCTAATAAACTCTTTAACAAATCTCTTAACATGCTTTCTTCCCACAGATCTTTAAAAGGTAATAGTAGCTGGGTGCAGCAGCTCACACTTGTAATCCCAGAACTCTGGGAAGCCGAGGCAGGAGAATTGCTTGAGCTCAGGAGTTTGAGACCAGCCTGAGTAAGAATGAGACCCCATCTCTCCTAAATATAGAAAAACTAGCTAGGCATGGTTGTGGGTGCCTATAATCCCAGCTATTGGGAAGGCTGAGGCAGGAGGATCACTTGAGCACAGGAGTTTGAGGTTGCTGTGAGCTATGACATCACCTACCCAAGGCAACAGTTATAGAAAAAAAAGTCTGAAACCAAGTTTTTTTTTTTTTTTTGAGACAGAGCCTCAAGCTGTCCCCCTGGGTAGAGTGCTGTGGCATTACAGCTCACAGCAACCTCCAACTCCTGGGCTCAAGCGAGTCTCCTGCCTCTGCCTCCCAAGTAGCTGGGACCACAGGCGCCCACCACAACGCCCAGCTATTTTTTGGTTGCAGCTGTCACTGTTGTTTGGCAGGTCCGGGCTGGGGATTCAAACCCGCCACCTTAGGTGTACGTGGCTGGCGCCTTAGCCGGTTGAGCTATAGGCGCCGAGCCTAAAACCAAGTTTCATAATTTAACTTCTAACCTATTTTAGGAAAAAAAAAAATCCACAAATTAGCGAAATATCTACTAGAAACATCTGTAACTTTAATTAGTAGTGCATTTTCACCTTAAAATACAAGTAAAACCAGCAAAAGCAAGTTTAAAAGGCTGCAGTTTTAAACTTCCTGTTTGGTGGTGGCTACAGGTCTGCCACACAGTCCCAGCCACCAGCACAGAGGAGCAGAACAGCTAGGTGGCCGCACTCCCCCTGCTCCCCCAGCCTCACTTTTCAGACATGAGGGACTCCTGGGAGCTCCTTCCCTCTCACTCCCCTACTCCTGGAGGACTCCAGGAGTTACTCAATGGATCAAAGTGACCAACTGGGATAGTCCCTTTGGGGGACTATTGAGTGGGTAGTTGTAAATAAATATCAACTAGAAGAGCCAAGATTCTTTGGATAGACCTAAGTAAAGAAAGGGATGAGGGAACTATCCCCGGGAATGAAGTGGGAAGGGTTAGTTCTGAGAAAACAATAAAAACCAAATTTAAAAATTAATTTATAGGATATAAAAAGGCTTTTCTGAAATGCCAAGACTGGAAGATGCCTGTGATGGACAAGCAGCGAGTATCAGGTGAGACTCAGTTAAACCACCCTTCCCCCCAATTCTGCTTTCTCTGGATCCTGGTCACTTTGCACAGGTAGGAGAATAAAACCCAACCATGCTCTCTTTACATGTTCCTCAGGGGCCTGTGCAGAAGGCCCTGATGCCACGTGGCAGACAGAGTCTGATCTGTTCTGTTTTGACACTGAAAATGCATATGACATCACCAGCAGGTCAACATCGGGGGGATGAGAGACTTACTTTAATCCAGGGATATCCAGAAGATTAGTCAGTCCTGTCCAGTTAATTTCTAAAAGCTGTTAAAAAAAAAAAAAAAAAAGGCAAACATCAGCTCCAGTGCACACAGGTTGGTTCCTTTGTAACAATGTGCTAGCACAGAATGCCAGCCTGCAGCTCTCCCCACTGCCACACACCTAGGGCACCTTCCTGCTTGGTCTATGGGCGCCTGCCTGTGGTTTTCTTGATGATGGCATTGTTTGCTCTAGTAAAATCATCCAACAATTTATTTACCCATCCTTCCAAGGGTAAATAAATTTCTCTGTTATTATGAGTAATGACTTAATGAACTGTTCACAAACATCTTCTCGCATACCCATGCAGACAAGCATTCACAAGGACCTGGGGGTCAAAGATTTAGGTTCGTTTTTAATGCTGATGGATAGTTCCTATTGCCCTCTACAAATATTATATTGTACCAATTTATATGAAAATGTAAATGTATTACATACCAAAAATATATGAAAATGTCCTTAATTCCATACTTTCACCAAAGACAATATTAAAAACAGAACTTCACCACTGTGTTTATTTCCATTTTCCTATGGAACATGTTTTATACATTTATTTGACATTTCTATTTATTCATCTTAGAACTCCTATACAATTAAGATTCTATCAAGTGGGCTCAGCGCCTGTGGCTCAAGCGGCTAAGGCACCAGCCACATACACCTAAGGTGGCCAGTTCGAATCCCCAGCCCGGGCCCGCCAAACAACAATGATGGCTGCAACCAAAAAATGGCCAGGCGTTGTGGCAGGTGCCTGTAGTCCCAGCTACTTGAGAGGCAGAGGCAGGAGACTCGCTTGAGCCCAGGAGTTGGAGGTTGCTGTGAGCTGTGATGCCATAGCACTCTACCCAGGGGGATAGCTTGAGGCTTCATCTAAAAAAAAAAAAAAAAAAAGATTCTATCCAGTGGATGTGGATTGGTAAAAACTATTGATTAGAAATACTGCTTTTCAGTGGCACCCATAGCTCAGTGGTTAGGGTGCTGACCACATACACCAAAGCTGGCAAGTTCAAACCTGGCCCAGGCCAGCTAAAACAACAATGACAACTGCAACAACAACAAAAAAAGCCGTGCATTGTGGTGGGCGTCTGTAGTACAGCCACTTGGAAGGCTGAGGCAAGAGAATCGCTTAAGCCCAAGAGTTTGAGGTTGCTGTGAGCTGTGACACTATAGCACTCTACCAAGGGTGACAGCTTGAGACTCTGTCTCAAAAAAAAAAAAGAAAGAAATACTACTTTTCTTATCAAAATTATGCATGATAAAAATACTAAGGTTTTATATTTATAGAATAAATTCTAAGTGAAATTGCATGATCTCAATTACCCACGTAATTGAGCACCGAAACTGCCAAAATCCCTTCTTGGAGTGGGTAGTTGTAAATAAATATCAACTAGAAGAGCCAAGATTCTTTGGATAGACCTAAGTAAAGAAAAAAGCAACACTTATTTCCTTATTTTTTAAAATGCTGAAATATTAAGGGAGTGAAAGTGTCTGTGTTACGTGAAGCCCTTGTATAAAGGCAAACCCAGGACTTCTTAGTGTGCCTAGCCCTGGAATAGTGTTGCTTGCACCCCACCCACCCCAGTTCTTGATTTCCAATACCCTTTACATCACTGGTTCTCAACCTTCCTAATGCTGTGACCCTTTAATACAGTTCCTCATGTTGTGGTGACCCCCAACCATAAAATTATTTTTGTTGATACTTCATAACTATAATTTTGCTACTGTTATGAATTGTAATGTAAATATCTGATATGCGGGATGTATTTTGTTACAAATTGAATATAATTAAAGCATAGTGATTAATCACAAAAACAGTATATAATTATATATTGTGAAATATTTATTTCTAATTACAAATAAATGAAATTTTGTCTTAAAGCATGGTATAGCATGGGTAACAGTCTTTTTTTTTTTTTTTTTTGAGATGGAGCCTCAAGCTATCCCCCTGGGTAGAGTGCCATGGCATCACACTCACAGCAACCTCCAGCTCCTGGGCTCAAGCGAGTCTCCTGCCTCAGCCTCCCAAGTAGCTGGGACCACAGGCGCCCGCCACAACATCTGGCCATTTTTTGGTTGCAGCCATCATTGTTGTTTGGTGGGCCCAGGCTGGGGATTTGAACCTGCCACCTCAGGTGTATGTGGCTGGCGCCTTAGCCGCTTGAGCCACAGGTGCCGAGCCGGGTAACAGTCTTAATATAACAACAGTAAACTGCCTTGCTACATTTTGCTACAGTATGAGTAAAAAGCCAACATCAGTGCAAAGGTTGAGATTGCTTCTTTCTCACCAGATCAGAAATTCTCAGGGCAATCTTTGCAAGAGTACAATGAAGATCATCTCCCACAACAAGTCTACTTCTGTACTTAGACTTGATAACCAACAAGCTGGAAAACTCTGTTTCACAAAGATATGTTGTTGGAAATGGAAGAAGGCAGAGCAACAGTCTCAGGTAGAACAGGATATGACTGCAAACACGTGATCCAGAATTTTGTAAATGGCATTGTAGAGAAATCAGTTCTGGCTGCATCACTGTTAATAAGTTCAATGACCTCACCTAATGTGCATGATGCACTGGTACATTTCAAAACTATTACAAAATGAGTGTAATTGTGATGGATATGTTACTTGGTTCAATGTAAACATTTCACATTGTATATCGAAGCAGTACCCTGAACCTCATAAATGCATCAATGTACAAAGTTATGATTTAATAAAAAATAATTACTAAAAAAACCTCCAATAACAACAAAAAAAGAAAAAAATAAGTTCAGTGAACTCCTCTTGCGCTGTCTCAGGAACATCTTCAACTTTGACTGTGAATGGGCTTCTGGCAAGTGCAAATGGGGTGTCAGGTAAATTTGGAAAGTACGATGAAATTTTTCTGCAAGCATGTGCAAGTGTTCTTTCACAGGAATCATCATTGTAATCCTTTTGTCTGGTTCAACGTCATGTTCCTCAAAGAAAGCAGATAAGGTAGGCGACATGTGAATTTTATTTTCCTCCAAATATTTTTTGCCAAAGCTGAAGTTCATTTGGAATGATCAGATCTTTTCAGACAGATCGAGGCATATTGCATTTAGTCCTTGCAGTGATAAATTAACTCATTTGAGATGGCAAAGACATCAACCAAGTAAGCTATTTTCTGCAGTTCACTTGTATCACTGAAAAGCACTTCAAACTGCAGTCTTGCTTTCTGACTAAAAATTGTTTTGAGTTCATCACGAAGCTCAAAAACACATTTTAAAACTTCTCTTGACAACCATCTCACTTCAGTGTGAAATAGCAGAGCATTGTTTAGTGTATCCAACTCGTTGCACAGTTGCAAAAATAGTTGACTGTTTAGAGTGCTCACCTTTACAAAATTGACAGAATTTATGACGCTTTTTCATTACTTCTAGTAACTCTTGTGGCAGCATCTTCGTTGCTAATATTTGCCGATGAATCATACAGTGAGTTCTGATGACTTTTGGTGACTCATTCAGTACCAAATGTTGAAATCCAGATTGAGATCCTAGCATAGCTGGAGCACCATCTGTGCAAACACTACAAACATTTTCGCAAGAGATCTTATTGTCTTTAGGAAAGGAACCAACTGTGTCAAATATATCACGTGCAGTAGTTGTTGTTTCAAGAGGTTTGCAAAAAAGAAACTCATCTTTAAAGTTGTCGTCATTAATATACCTCACGTAAACCATAAATTGTGAATAGTTTGCAACATCTATAGATTCATCAAGCTGGATACTAAATATTGGAAGTGGAACAGATTTAATTTCCTGGATTACCTGATCCAGAATATCAGCAGACATGTCATCTATTCTTCTGCAGACAGTGTCATTAGATGAGGAAATTGCACTCAATTTCATAACAAATTCATCTCCGAGCATGATTCAAACAATGTCTTTGGCCACTGGCAACAGTAAATCCTCAGCAATGGTGTGAGGTTTCATAACTCTGGCGATTCTGAGTGCCACCAAATATGAAGCTTCAATGGCTGCTATGTTTTGTTTGTGGTACTTGTCACCAATGTCAAGTCTGGCTTTCTTGAGTCCATCAGCTTTGCTTCTAAAATAGTTGTTATCCTTGCTGGCAAAGCTCAGATGCTTGCTATCAAACAGGGTTTTAGTTTGTTCAGCTTCATAGATTTGGCTGATAGAACTTCACAACAAAGGACACATTGCGGTTTCTCAATTCCTGCTGTAATTATTGAGGTAAAACAATACTATAAAAAATCCTGGCTCGGCACCTGTGGCTCAAGTGGCTAAGGCACCAGCCACATAACACCTAAGGTGGCGGGTTCAAATCCATCCTGGGCCCGCCAAACAACAATGATAGCTGCAACCAAAAAATGGCCAGGCATTGTGGCGGGCGCCTGTGGTCCCAGCTACTTGGGAGGCAGAGGCAGGAGACTCGCTTGAGCCCAGGAGTTGGAGGTTGCTGTGAGCTGTGATGCCACAGCACTCTACCCAGGGGGACAGCTTGAAGCTTGGTCTCAAAAAAAAAAAAAAAAATTCTCACTAGGGCGGCACCTGTGGCTCAAAGGCATAGGGTGCCAGCCCCATATGCTGGAGGTGGTGGGTTCAAACTCAGCCCTCGCCAAAAATTGCAAAAAAAAAAAAATCCTCACTTATTTTCTTTTCTTAATGTTCTTCTCTACATAATCCATTGTCATGGGATAGTTTGCTGATGAAAATAATATATAACAATAGTTTTAATAATACAAAAGATGGCACATGGCATAGTTCAGTCAATACAGTTCATTAAAGTTTCCTATGATTTACCATCTGTGTTGTTTTTTACATACCTGTTACTATCACAAGGGGGCAGTGTTCACACCAACCACAGCTGAATATAAAAAGATGGATCAGCATCCAGATTAAGTTCCCATGGTACAGATTTTTTCTTTTTGCAGTAGTTGATGATTTTACAGTACATGATTTTACATTTACCCAGTAATTATCATTCATGAAATGTCATTTTACCTCTAATACTGCTGCTTTCAACACAGTAGCTG